TCCAGTTCATGAAACATACTTGAAGACCAAAAACATAAAGAGCAGCCACAACCAAGACAGAGCGAGTATTAGCAACATGTTCGGGAGCCAGACCAGCTTGCAAAGTTGATTATGCCTCCATTATTTGGAAAGAATCTGTTAACTAAACTAAAGTGTAATCCATCTTTATTTCCCACTGTTAGACACACACACACACACAGGTTGTGTGTGTGTGTGCTTCTCTTGATGCAACATGCTCATCGTAATCATCAGTTTCCTTCTGAGTCTTAAGTAAATATTTTTTTCTTCAGTTTGGAAGTTTTCAAAAGATTCTTCCACAGGTAAAACTAGAGACTTGTTTAAAACTTGTCTAGTGCTTTTGCTTAGCCTTATGGACATTCACTCTAATGGAAGCGGTGGCCACCACTGGTGTTGCTACATGTCTAGATCTCTGTGAGTATTTGTGAGTAAACTTTTATCTAAACCATTAAGAATGTTGCCCAAAGAAATATCCTTCTCTATTTGTGAAAAAAAAAACAGAATTTCAGTGGAAAGAATTTGTCTACCAGACTAATGTTGTGGAAACTGTATATTTCCTGGTGCAGAACTAAACAAATAAATGGATTACAATAAACCATTGTCTTTTGGTATTTATTTAAAGGAGAAAACAAAGAAGTACATGAACAAGCAGCAGGGTCAGATGTCTCCCATCTAGGGCAGTATCAGACACCTAGCCCCGAGCAGAGGACAAACAACATTTAAAGCAAAGAGTGAGTTCCCTCACACAGTGGCCTTGAAAACTCCAATACCCATGGGACATAACAATTTCACAGATGTTCATATACACAAACTCTGCCATGGCTTAGTGGACGGTATAATAACAGAGAAGGTGACTGTAAGTACACAAGATACATATAATCATCAGCATGTAAATAAGGTCAATTTTCTGCATCAATCCTCCCTCTGGCCACAACGAGTGAAGAGGATGATGAAACTTGGGCTTGGTTTCCACATATTGAGACTGTTTCTGAATTCACCTGAATCTGCCTTCCCATGGGTGTGTGATTTCCCTCCAGGATGACGTTGGGTGTGGTTCCAATGAAGGTAGCAGTCCCCTCGATCCTGGCAGCGTAACAAAACTTTGTCAGCTTCATTTACTTCCACTCCCTCTTCATTCTCCTCTGCTTGGCTGCTGGATCTCTGAGGGACAGAAAATAAACAAACAGAAACCATAATGCCTCTGGCCACAAGCAAACGTGAATAAAAATGGTGATTATTAAAAGGCCAAACACAGGCCTAACACATTCACACTGTTTCACACATATGGTCAGTTGATGTAATAGTGGGAAGAAGGTAAAGCTCACTGGTTGTAATAGTGAGCAACACACATTCACAAATTCATGAAATGGCATGTCATGTCTTAAGATGTTTAATCCCAAAATAAGCCAAATAAAATCAGAAGCCCTGAATTTGACTGATAGGAACTACTAAGTGATAAGTGTGTTGTCCATGTCTTGTAGAAGGAGCAGCAAGGGTCAAGTGTAAAAAACAAAGATCCATTAGATAACAGGTTTAAAGGGGGTGTAAAAAAGTGGTGTGGGCGAAACTTCTTGAAAGAAAAACAATGTTAATTGTAATTCTTAGGAAAGGCTGAAATGCAGACAAACCAGATAATCCTCCTGCTGTGTGTGTGTGTGTGTGTGTGTGTGTGCGCGCACGTGTGAGATTGTGTATGTCAAGTGAAATGGTTTTGCAAGAGAGAATAATGATTGGTGTTTAATTGCTTGAGGCAACCCTGAGTTTGTAGGTACTTACGGTAAAAGTCTCTCACAGTTACTGCACAGGAAAAAATACTTTCAGAGTTCAAATAAAGTATACAAGTAAGCCATTTGCAAATTAAGTTTTGACTTACATTTTTAAAGACAATATCACATAGAAGTTTCAAACAAATTGTAGTAGTTTAGTTTAGTTTTAGGTTAGTTTAGTTTATCATAATTGTCCCACTGGGGGGAAATTGTTATGCAGCCAGGCTTCAGTGAAATGAGGGACAAAATACAAAAGGACAACATGTCCACACAATAAATCAAAGAACTAGTTCAGGAAAACAGAAATTCATAACAATTACAAATGTGCAAAATGATCAGAGTGCAGTATTCAAGACAATCTATATATCTGAGTGCTAGGTGCCTTAAGGCATAGCAATGACACTTGGGATGAAGGAAACATGGTGTCTTTTAGTATCGCAGAGAGTAGTCTTGAAAAGGGCCAAAAGGCAATAGCTCAAACTGCTTCCACAGTGGATGGGCCTGGTTGTCCAATTTAACATCAGCCCTCCTAAGGACCCACCTGTTATACATGTCTGAAAGCTTGGCATGACTCCCCCTGAGATCTTGCAGGCCAATTTTACAAGACTACCAAGTCTGTTCTTATTGGACAAATAAAGGTTTCCAAACCACACAGCAATACAGAAGGTTAAAACAGATTCAATAAAACTCCTAGAAGAGAGTCATCATCTCAAGACAGAGTGTGTTTACATGGGTGGGATCATGGGTTGTGAGACGTGAACCCGGCTTAGGGTTAAACAAAGTACATGTTTAGGTTTGAAGTTCATGTCAGAGGATCATTTGACATAAATAAAGAACAAGACATTAATTGTGAATGAGTGTGCGCACAGAGACATACCACCTCAATGTTTTTGCCTGCACAAACTTTGCTGATGAATTATTAGTTTGTACTCCTTTAGACTCACCATTTGTCATTTTGTGACACAGTAAAGGCCTTATTTACTTTTAGAGTGGATTTTATATTAAGTTTAGATGTATTTTTTCTAGATTCCTGACAGCCAAAATTATCAAAGGCCTGTTTTTTTATAGTTCAAGCGACACAAAAGGTACATCATAAAGGTAAATCAGTAATCTCTAAAGTCGTGATAATTGTCTATGTCTAATTCTCTGGTGCATTCTTGTATATATTGTGTATTTTAAATATCTTAAATACCCTCTAATGCAAGCAAAGGAAACTGCAATTCACACGTAGCCTATGATGAGGAGAGAATTGCATATTACTGTTTTTCTAAGCAGATCCTTAGATCTATTTATCTATATTGATTGATCTATAACACCTCATTAGTTATGAGTTATCAATAGAGGAGAATGATACTGATAGTCTAAACAACTGACTATCAAACGTTTAGGATACTAATGCAGATACGTACTAGTTCTCTGCTGCTATCATGGCAACTTACTTGTCTGTCCCCTGCTATTCCTGTCCTTTATGATTTTTATCAAGTTGTATTCATTTTAAAAGATATTCTATTTTATTCTATTTTTGGGTGTCTTTTAAACATCTGGCCAGGGACTACAGACCTAAGAAATAGCCTTCTTTATTAATTTTCAAAATGTTTTCTAGTTAATCAATGAGCATTGTCCCCACCAAATAAACCAATACAACTAAACTTTTACCTCAACGTTTTCTGCACACAATTAAGGCCTTGTTGGGACAGTGGTCTACCTGCCTCATTGGTGAAAAGTAGACCCCGAGGCAAACCTTGAATGCAATCGCCTTTATTTGCACAATAAAGAGAAATATAGAAAGAAATGTAAAAAGAAAACACAGAAATAATAACTTTGAGGAAATAGATAGGGATAAATGCAAAAGGAAAACATACATACAAAAATAAAAATCCATTTTAAAATTAATCGATTAATTAATTAAATAGAATACTAAATGTCAAAAGTCAATAAATAGGGGGAATAATACAAAAGTAAATAAATGAAGAAATATCACTCACATTTATAAACTAACAAATGCCAAGATTTATTTTTTATATTTTTATATTATTTTTCGTGCATTTAGCATATGAATTGTTGAGTCATTTATTTTTATATTTTTCTTTATTGGGGGGACGTTAGGTGTTTTAAGAAACTGGGGGAAGTTGACAGAGTAGGAAAAGTAGAAAATGTGAAAAGGTCATCAATTTCCCCTCGGGGATCAATAAAGTTCTATCCATCTATCTAATATACTTTGTTGTTTGTCAGGACAGGAGTGGGGAGCAAGTAGAGCCTCTACAAAGGACTTTCTGGACACACATCAGATCTGTCTCTGACTAGGTGTACGGCGTACATGTCAGCAGCAGAATCAAATCCTAAGAAAGTTACAAGTGAAGGCCCTGAGAATCGATAGGGGATCCTTCAAAACATCTCTATTATCAGCGATGCAGGTGGAAATGGGAGAAATGCCTTTAAGGATTGGTGACGCAAAGGCAGAAAACATAGGATTACGTCAACTACAGTACAACCCCACGGGTTTAGTATATACTCCAGTGAGTGAGTCATGTAGAAAAAAGTATCAGACCATGTGTCAGTGTATACCACAGAGCTAATGGCAACATTACTGGCCCTGCTGTGGATAGAAGAGAAGGAAATAAATAACACTGACAAAAATCTGACAGCTTTACAGCAAAAACAAGCATAGATCTGGCAGATCATCATTTAGAACAGATTTTATCAATGAAATATTCCTTATAATGTACAGGACGGAAATGAAGTGTTTATCTACACACTTCCCTTGGATTCCTGCTCATGTTGGTGTAAAGGGAAATGAGCAGGTGGCCAAACAAACACAAACAAATTAAGCAGGTAAACCTACAAGCTCCAATAAGTAAAGCTAAAGCAAATATATTCATTAGGACATATCCAGAGTGAGTATGGCAGGAGCATTGGGATAATACTGAAACAGGAAGACATCAATATACTATAAATGCATGTTGGTGCTGGGAAGGATGGTGGGCTGGAAACGAAGGGAAGATAATATAATCACAAAACAGCGGGCAAGATATACTTTGACATTTATTATTATGTTTTTAAAAGAAACAGATTTAGCTAAAATAATTTAGTTTGTCAAATAGCTTGTTTCACACTCCAGTCCAGTTGGTGGCTGTAGTGCGTCTTTAAGCTGGTTTGCTATCTGCCAATAAACACTAAAGAAGAAGAAGAAGAAGAAGAAGAAGAAGAAGAAGAAGAGAATTAAAAAGACTGTGGATAATAATTAGGCGGGTTTAAGTTTTTAAGACTCTGGGACAATAAAGAAGGCTTTGACACAGCATTTTGGTCTTACCTTAATATTGGGACATACAATTGGCCCTGGTTTGTACTAAAATTTAACTTTTAATGCGGAATTTGACGTGTCATAGCAACGACGTTAGTTAAATGGCTAACTTGGTTATATCTATGCTGGAGCTTGAGGAGGCCAGTTCATGTGATAGGCTAAACTATTAGTGTTCACCTCTGTAGTTCACCTCTTCGTCCAGACGGTGTTGCTAAACTCCCGCTTTTGTTTACCAGTCTCGTTTCCTTTATATAGCTGAGCTTCTCTAGCTGGTAGATGTGTTGCGAAATCGACTCTCAGACGGGCTTCCGTCGTTCATTTAAAAAGAACCGACTATTTCGTGACCATAGACCGACACATCAGTAACTTCAGTCCGAGATGGACGAGCCGGACACCGCAGCGATCCTCCCCGGCGATGTGCTCGAAGCCACATCAGCCGACGATGAAACCTCATGTAGCCACAAAGAAGAGGAGGCAGATGTACCGACAACCCGCTCCGGACGACCACCGTTCACGTGCCCTCTGCCGGTTTCTGTGGAGCCGGTGTTGTTCCTCTCCATGTTTTCTCTGGCCCTGCAGGCGCCTCTGTCCACACAGTATCTGTGGGACCGCATCAGCGAGGACCTCGGCTACAACGGATCCAAGAGGTCGGAGTGCAGCAACACCTCCGCTCCCCCTGACCCTCTGCAGAAGGTAACTGTCAGCAATCGGGGAAAGTTTCTCCATCCTGTAGACAAAGTAACGTTAGTGGAAACACCTCACGAAATGGACTGAAGTCTGAAGGAAATGACTCAAAATCACAAACACTGGACATGTGATCATGTAGGTCACTAGGCTTGATTTTATTTATTGGTTCATTAACAGGGAGAGTGTCAAAATGCTGTTTTTCTTCTGTTGTCTGCAGTACAGATGTTAGATAGCCTAAAAAAAGCTTAGAATAAAGTTAAAACGGTTATTTAAATGGTTACATGCAAAGCAGTAATGGGAAGACAATGTTATTGAAGATATACAAGATATCTTAATGTTGTCAAGCACTTACAATTAATTAAAACATGCAACACAGAAGAAGCACGCAATACACAGCATAAAAAGCAACATGATGAGGAATATGGTTGATAGATAGAATCAGTGTGCCTAAAAGGAACCTGTGAAAAAAGGCCTTTAATGCTTTCTGAGCAATCAAGGGAAAAGGCTTCAAAGTCATTGAACCCAGAAACCGTTTCGACAAAGAGGAACAGCAGTCACATGTTAAAACTAAGCGGGGATGTGTTATTTTTATTTATGTTGACTGTATGTTTGTCTACGTGTAGCACCTTATCACCACAGCAAATTCCTCATATGTGTAAAACACTACTTGGCAATAAAACTCCTTCTGATTCTGATTCTGATGAGCATGCAGATACATCAGCAGTTTTCTGTTCACCAGGACCCTGACCCTTGACAATGTGTAATAGGGTTCAAATTAGTGATAAAATTACACTTAGGATGCTTGGCAAATGTAATTATGTGTATTATCGGGACTGAGTAGTAACAACTTGAATCTCTTCATCTGTGTCACCACATTGCCCCTGAGCATCTCCATCCTGTTTGCTGATGCGTTGTTGACCGGGCTACACTCGTTCCTTTTTGTCTTGCAGGAGGTGGAAACCTTGACAGCCCACTGGAACCTGTACATCAGTCTTGGGGGCTTTTCTGTAGGCCTCCTGGTGGTGCCTCTCCTGGGCTCGTGGAGTGATCTCGCTGGTCGCAGACCTATCCTTATCCTCCCCAACCTGGGCCTGGCCCTCCAAGCAGTGGTTTATCTAGTGGTGATGTACCTGAAGCTCCCTGTGGGCTGCTTTCTGGTGGGCAGGCTGCTTAGTGGCCTTTCGGGTGATTTCAACGCCATCCTAGCAGGCTGCTTTTCATATGTGGCTGATACCAGCGACAGAAGGTCCCGCACCTTCAGGGTGGCGGTCTTGGAGGCTTGTCTGGGCCTCTCGGGGATGCTAGCCAGCATCATCGGAGGGCAGTGGCGGCGGGCACAAGGGTAAGAAATGTGTGGTTTTTTGCTGTGCACTTTGCTCAGACTCTAAATCTTTGCTATCTGAATTAGTAATTGGTAACCATTTTATTTTTTTGTGTTTAGGTACATCAACCCATTCTGGCTGGTCCTGGCCACTAACTTGGCTGGGGCTCTGTACGCTTACCTGTTTGTCCGTGAGTCTGTCCTGCCAGACCCAAGCGCTAGGTTCCTCACCTCTCGCCACCATAAAGCCGTCTGGCACCTCTTCTCAACAGGAGGCGGTACCAGTGAGGCGGGCGGAAGATTTCACAGATGCAAGCTGTGGCTTTACATGCTCTGTTTTTTTGTGGTAGTGACCGTACACTTCGGCAGCAGGGAGCTGTATGTGCTGTATGAGCTGAGCTCACCGCTGTGCTGGGGGCCAGCCCTCATTGGCTACGGATCAGCAGCTCAGCACCTGGCCTACCTTACCAGTCTGCTGGGGCTGAAGATCATGCAGCGCTGCCTGAATGACTCCTGGGTGGCTCTTCTGGGTCTGGTCTCCAATGTCACTGGGCTGGTGGTCTTCTCTATAGCTGACACCACCCAGCTCATGTTCACAGGTGAGAGATTTCGGTTTGTGACCGCCTGATGTTTTGTACACAATTTAGACATATTGTCAAAATTATTTGGGTGGTTGAAATTATGGTGTTCTATCTAACAAGTTTTCTGTTCATAAACAAAACGATAATACAAGTGAAAGCTTCACTTTGAAGCACAGAAATCAGTATTTTATCTAAGCATTATAAAACATTCTTAATAAAGTCTTAATAAAGCATGATGACACATGTGACCAACTAAAACCCTTTCCTGGGATAATCCCATGCAGTGAATGTCTGTTAAATATCCATTTAATGACATTACACTGAGAATGTCTTTTTACTTTAATTATCATCCGTTTATTTATGCTGTCCCATCTCTACTGAAAGTTTTTGAAATACACACTTTGCAGGTGAAAATAATCTCCCTTTATCAGATGAATGCTGTCACGCTGTTACAGCTCAGCAAGCGATAGACTGAACAGGTTGTGTATGTTGGCAACCTTGAATAGCAGGCAATAAAAACAAAGTACTTCTCTGCTGGTAGATTGAGGGAATAATTAACCATGCAGTTTAGTGAGGTTTTCAGAGACAGTTAAGTAGTTGCAGAATAATGCAGGGACCATTTTATGACAGACTGAGAACAAAAGTGTGTATACAAATACAAAAAACTGAATTTAAGATATATACAGCGGTAACTGTCTTTTAATGTAGTTCCACTGTTGCACAATGTTCAGAATCAAAATAGCTGTCTGAGCCAGCACTGTGTATCAAAGTTCAAATATGTTAATTTGTCTGTCACCAGGTTATGGCCTGTGCTTCCTCTTCATGACTGCGACGCCTGTTCTCAGATCAAAGCTGTCCAAGTTGGTGGACCCATCTGAACAAGGTCAGTCACTGAACATGTTACAACTACTACAAAAAAAGATTGTCTTTAACACAGCAACCTGATGTGAGCAGCAGTGTATTAAGAAAAAGTATATTGTTTTCTTGCTCCTTATGTAATTTTACCAAATGCTCAGCACACATCTGGGAGTGAGAGCAAACTCATGTGTAGTGTTTGAATGACTTTCAATTATTATAATTCAGTCCGTATCATAATGCTACAGTGCAGTTTGAAGCACATGTCCCTTTGCCATGAGGGAGAGCTCGTGTCCTACAGGTTATATACATAATTGTGTGTTTGTGCTTCCTCCCAGGTGCCCTGTTTGCGTCTGTCGCCTGTGTGGAGAGCTTGTGTTTTCTGGTGGGCAGTGGCCTCTTCAACTCCCTTTACCCAGCAACACTACACTTCATGAAGGGCTTCCCATTCCTTTTTGCTGCCATCCTCCTTTTCATCCCTGTTGGAATCATTGGGTGAGTTTGCTCTTGCTCTCATTGGCCTTTTTGACCTCGTATTTTTGTTGTTTTCTTAATATTGTGTCCTAGATACAAAATCAGGACATTTTCAACAACAAAATTGAAAATGAGCAAAATAAAATATTATTTTTCATGTTTGTCTTTCAAGGACGCTGCAGTGTTTAGACCAGAGGAGAGACCAAAGGGACTCCACAGCATAGTGATATCCTGAGTTAAAGTTCATCCTGGTGTCAGTCTACGAGGTGAGCAGCTCTGACACAGAGACATCCGTCATGTCCATCTGTGATGCTGGGAGAGACTTTTGATCTTATACCAGTGACGGGGCAGCTGACTGTAGTTATCAAGCTCAGCGATGGGATTCTTTCAACTAGTCATACCAAAATGATCAAAACCAAAGGAGGAAGAATCAATCTCCTGGATGACACTACTGTCTTAATAGTTAGATAGTGGAGACTGGGGCTTTGTCAGATCTTTGCTGGCCCTAAAAACAAACCACAGTCTTCCGATATTCCATCATGACATTCATACAAATGGTAGAATGAAGGAGACTCGGGACATGCTTTCATTTTGTGACTTGATACGTATTCAGCACAGCTTAATGAGTGCCAATTAATGTGCCTTACTTTTCCATTTTTAATGTATTAATTAATTGCAATAGCTCTAATGGCAAACTACAGATTAAGGTGCTAACCATGAGAGGATATGCACAAACTCCTCAGTTGTTAAAAAAAAAAAACACATGGGTGCAATGTCATTTATTAATAGCAACATATCAATCACCTGACACAGGTGTTACTAATTACAAAAGTAATAAATAAGTGAGACACCCTTGAAACACTTAGTGGCAAAACACTCTCATTGTCGCACATAAATATTATTTTTCAAGCCAACAGTCAATGACCCCGTTCATAATAACGACGAAAGTTTGAATGTTTGTTTGTTTGTTTTTCATCTGAGTCAATTTATTAACTATGCAGCTTGCTAACATTTATCATGGTAGATCTTCTGATATTTGTTTCACAAAGTACATATCATCCAACAGCAAAAACTATAATGACGTGTATAAAGATAACCTGAGGAAAAGGGATCGCTGAAGAGCTTCATTATGACAACGATTATATGAAACCTTCTTTGCTAGCCTGCTGTTCGTCAGTTGTCACAGAATGTATATAACTTTTATTTGTATTTATTAAAGGTTTTGTTTGATTTGTTTAGTCAAATGTTGCCGCTCCTCATTAATGTACAAGATAAAGTCAAGCCACTGAGAATAGTAATTTCTTACAGTTTTTCTAAGTTGCTTTGGTAAATTTCTCAGACCAGAAGTGAAAGTCTTAAAACTACTTGTTCAGCCGCAACATCTTCTAGTCACTTGTGCACATCATAAAAGCAATTTCTAATTTTAAGCAAATACTTTCGGCACATTCGTTCAAACAATTATGTACAATTGTCTGCTGTTTCAAACATAATCAGTTGCTATGGGGGTGGTGATGGCGCATAGATAAGATTCTTTCCTTTGGTGTGGGAGACCTGGGTTCGATTCCTACTGTAAGACATCCATCATGTCTATTTGACTTTGTTTTTGTAAATGTGTCTGGAATTAATGAAGATATCCGTTCTGATGTGGGTGGGAATCTGTGGCAAGACAGACAGGAACTTCAGCCTACGGGCTGGTTACATTTCTTATTTTGTCATACTAAAACTAAAACCGTTCATCAGATAAACCATACAGTTGCTATGTTGATGTTTATGGCAGTGGAGTACGTTTTATTCCAAAAAAGGAGGCAGCAGATATAACCTAGTTTTAATTTGAGAAATGTTTTAGATCTACAATTGTCATTCATTAAGATCATATACAATGAAGGAAGGTTATAATTTTTCTAACTTAAAGATAGGTGACTTTATTGATAATTAACCATTTTTAACTAATAACCACTCTAACTAACCGTACTTGTGTCAGGTAATTTGGTAAACACAACATAAGGTGTCATATCTACGTTCACCCACCACTCCGCTATCTATTCACCGTTTGCACATTTGAGTAGATTGTCAGCTATGTTAATGTCTCTGCCAAATCTGATAGTGGACATGGTATCTAGAACCCTGAAGCAGTGAAGTCATGACCTGGGATTCATGGAATCAAACTATACGGATAGATCATCTGGTGCAAATATGTCCAAACTATCAGTAATCCACATCAGAGAGAGTGAAACTGTAGCAGCAGCCACGGATTACGAGTTACACCTTGACCCTCCCTCCCTCCTCTTTCCATAAAGCAGGGGCACAGTCCCTTTATATTTATATTTCTTAACCATGTTTCAAATAAAGTGACCAAATGATTGATAATTATACAGAGCATATTTACTGAATCCTGCAAGGACATTGGATGAAAACAATATTAAGGCAAGAGGATGATAAAAGCCCCTCTGAACACGCATTCAGGCTATAATTACATAATTTTATAGAATATGTGATCACATCTTGGTGACTGCTTTGTTTGATTTGCAAGTCTTTAAATGTTTCATCACATGTTTATTTCAGCATCATCATGATTTATACAGGTGACGTTTATATTTTCACAAATATTGTGGTGGATCATATTGTTGGATTCCTTTTTGTTTTTATTTGACTGCTTCAGTTAAATGCACTGAGTGAACAAGGATGACATTTTATTGCAAAGCTGACAAATAATCACTTATCAGAACACTTTGGTGAATGAAACCTCAAGTCAACAGTATTAAATGATACTTTAATGTTATTATACTGTGTTGTAACAGCAAGACACTATGTAAAACTGATGGAATCATTTTCAGTACTGTACGTTAATTCAATGTTACTTTTTATCCACTTTTACAGAAAAGGACGTTTAATACTACATGGGTATTTGTTGCTGCCTGTACACTCCTTAAATCTGTTATTTGCTAAGTTGGAGGGTGCAGGTATACAGTATGTAGCTCGTTTATTTCTGTACAGTATGTCATGCATCCAGTTTAGATTATGCCTTCAGTCAATGCATCTGCTAGGAACAGTTTCTTTTCTATGACAACCCAAACACAAATATCTGTAAAATTAGAGACCTGCTTTGCTCATAGGAATATACAGTTTAGGGGTTAAACACAAGATGACTGCATGTAACATTTATAAAGACTGACATGTTAGTAGATACTTCAGAAACTGCTACTGAGGATTTTGCTGGGTGATCAGCTGATCTATCACAGTTATTTTCCTGAGAGACAGAAGGCGTTTACTGCACCTGATTACACATATACAGCAGTGTGAGGGTACTGTCATTAAAGGCTTACAGTTTATTATATACATCTGAAATCCTTTTTTGATTTCCATTACTGTTTGCAGTATATTATCTAAATATAATCAAATTCACTCCACATGCATTTGGGCAGTGCAGGGAAAGCTGCCGGCCAGGTCACCATCGGCCATGTGGAATTCGGTATCGTTGAAAGTTGATACTATATCTGAGATCAAACCTTGTTTATGTCATTTTGTTTCTTTTTCGGTTGTTTGGAGGCATCAGGGCCATCGATTTGGTCTTGCCGTCCATTCAGAAAGCGTAGGATCTTCTCGATCGTGGCCTCCTGATATTCATGAGACCATCTGTGTCAAGAAAAGGAAACAGGTGTTTGAAGGTGTGCATCATAAGCTAATGGATATGTTACAGATTCATAAAATATTCATTAAAGAAATAAAATCGTCTTTAAAAGATTAACAATGTTAGCATTAAAAGGCTCTGTGTAGTTATCACACAACAATAAACTCACACAGACATGTGGTGAACAATTTGAAAACATGCTGTCCCAATTACACAGATGTGTTTTTCAGAGTAAACAGTGACTCACTTGATGCCGTTGAAGTTGAGAATTGCTCTCATGTCCTCCGGCAAAGACATGGGGTCGGGCCACATAAAGTTATCTGTGACAGGAACTATGTTCTTCTTACCAGCCAGGGCTGTGACTATCTCCTGTAAGGTTAATGATCATTTCTCTGAGTACATGTGTATGTATACAAATGTAATGTCGAGACATGTAAAAGCACGAATGACTGCAAGGAAGAAAGTAAATAATAAAAAGAACATTGATGCGACAGGACTGACTGCACAAGCTTGTAATTCTCATGCATTCTGCAAAAGCTAGGGACATTTTCTGATCCTGTTGCAAAGAATTGTGGCATTAACATGCATTTTACACAGCAAAGTAGTTGTCAGGGTGAAATCAAATTACAGTGGCCAACTTATGACAATGCAGAACTATACCACCATAGTCAATGGCTTTTAGTCATGATATGGTTTATTAAATACAGCTGCCATAAAGCAATACTTAGGAGCTTACAAGTGGTGTTCCACAGTCAAAAAGGATAACTATATTCTTTTGATAAATTCCAGTCCCTTAATTAAGGCACTGGGATTTTTTAACATCAAAGACAAATCAGTGTACATTGCCACACAGTTTGAATGTCATGCACCCTTCACAAATCTGACCCCTATTCCACCTCTGACCTTATGCACCCAGTCCTTCATGGCAGTGTCACCCATGCACTTGTCGAGAGCATTGGAGGACAGGACCAGGATGAAATTGCGTGCCCTCTGTACACTCTGGATCAGTTTTTCCTGGAATTTACCAGCCTCCAGCTTCTCCACATCTATAAAGACGCTGTAGCCGCGAACCTGCAAGTGCACCTTCAGAAGGCTTGGGACAGGGAAGAAAATGAGGAAGTCAGAAAAAAAACATAGTTTTAGTACAGGTAAGGATTAATAAAGACAAAGTTTTACCTTATGCTTTTATAAATGCCTTGTGTCTAATGTATTCCATTTCTCTTCCTGAATTACCTCCTTTTCAACCAATCATGTTTCAGTTCTGACCTGGCTAGCTGGGAGCCGGTAGTCCGACGGTAGCTGATGAACACGTCGGGCCCTGCAGGCTGGGCGTCTGTGTGGCACGGTTTTAAGGGCTTGCGGCTAGAAGACAGTATCTTGGCTCTGTGAACTCCGTTGTCTATGTGGCAGTCATACTGGAGCTGCTGATCGGTCAGGTTCTGGATATTGTTGAGATCCACTCCTGACTGGACCAGGCCGTACGTATACTGACGGAAACGAGGGTCTATCTCAGCTAACCAGTCGGCCATGTTGTTTGGGTCACATGTGGAGTAGTTGGCGTAAGTCTTCAACACGCGCAAGTCTCTTAAAAATCTGGAGGATGAGACAGAGGTGTTACATCGCTCAGCCTCAGACCAAATGTGTGGAAAGTTTTTGTACCACTTGCCTCTTGCGAGTGAGGCCTGCAGTCATGCCCAGATCCGTGCTCAGATCCTGGTCTGTGATGTTCAGCATTAGGTCTCCATCCACCTGGAGCTCCTATACAGTTAGATAGAAATGTCAGACATAATGAATAATGGGTAGATCTTGATGCCCCTATTTATCTCTCTGTTGAGTGATAACCCTGTTTTATACCTGGAAACGGTCACAATAGGCACTAAAGCCAACCTGCTGCAGCCAGGTCTGCACTTCACAGGTTTTCCAGTTGGGCACACCTGACGGGATACGTTTTGGCACTTCCTCCCCCATCATACTGAGTGCCCGCTTGGCGAGGGAAGAAGCTGTGCCATTACTGGAGTACATGACAATTCTTTTTAGGCTCTGCACTGCTCCAATCTCTTGAAAAATCTTGAAAGGAGCACAAAATAAAGTCACAGTCACAACAAAGCTACCAGACATTACTACATTATTACATTACATTTTGTGCTATACAGCAAGTGGACAGTGATTGTACCTTAGTGTTGCGCTGACGAGACTTGATGCTGGTCTCCACACAAAAGTAAAAGGCTGCAATACACTTTCCTTCCAGTCTTGTGCCATCCAGTAATGGTAAAAAATGCTGCAGATCAGATGCTGTTTTACCCTGCATGCAGTCTGCACTGTCCAATAAACTGCGAGCAAAGTCATCCGGATCCAGAGATGCAATGAATGGCTCCACCAGCTCCAAGGTTCCAGATTTCACCACCTCCTTCTCGATTTCTCGGTTGGCAGCCAACACAGTCACCGCCAGACACGCGTGGAAGCGAATGAGTTCATCCTCTTTGGAAAAAGCCAGTGGGAAAAGCCACTCGGCCGCCTGTTTCTCGATCATCCATCGCTGGCAGCGGTGGCCTCCATACATGGCACAGTTTGCTAGTGCCACAGCACAGTGGCGCAGCACAGTGGGATCTGTTCCTCTGCACCAGAAGAGGAGGGAGTCCAGGGCACCGTTAGAGATGAGCTGGACGGATGTCTCCTCGCTGTGTTTGAACATGTGCTCCAGGATCCCAGAGACACTGCGAGCCAGCTGTGCGTCTTCCTGCTGTCGAGTCAGGTTGAGGATGACCCCCAGACCCATCCGTGCTAAATAATCTCTGTCAACAGAAGTTTGTAAATATGGTAACAAACCTGACTCATACAATCAGTTAGTTAGACTGACTGCAATTCTACTGAAAGGTTGACACATACTCCTGAACAAATAAGGCATAAACGGGTGTAGATGGTGTGTTTGGTAACATTAGACAATTTGATCAACAGCATAAATAAAAACTTTGCCAGATGTTTAATCCTTTAAGCCATTTATCAATCAAGACTGTCAACATTCCCGGGTACCAGCTTCTCAAATGTGAGGATGAGCTGCTTTTCTGTGTTTTATATCACTGTAAATTAAATAAATAGCCGGACAAAACAAGTAACTTCAAGATGTCGTGTTACCTCTACTCGTTTTTCACAGTTTTCAAACATTTTACAGACTTAATGAAAAATATACCCGTATCTATGAACATAGATATATAAGGTGTGGACATAAAAACATGAATACTGTCTTTAACATGTACAAGCCACTAAAAACAGCCTTCAAAGTTAAACTTTTGGATGAGACTGTGTCCAGAAGTGTTGATTCCTCTAAATCATATGGTAGCAACACCAACTATGGAGTTGTATTACATGTTATAGTAAGTTGTTGTTTTGTTTCTCCCTGTACTAAAAAAATTTGCAGACTATAATGTGATGCAGTAAAGTACAGAAAACAAAGCCTGTATGAAGGCCTCAAAAACTACCTGTTCTCTGAGATGAGTATCTGCTCCAGCAGTTTTGCAGACTCATATGTGATCTCCACAGCAGGTGTCTGCTGAAGCTGCAGCAGCGTCTCCAGGCCTCCGTCCAGCCGGATCCTGTTGCAGATCTCCTCGGCCACTTGACGGCCTACGGTGGGCAAAACCCAGGCCTCCTGTACCAGCTGAAAGATATCCGCGATGGCCCTGCGGGTCTCATCTGAATCGGAGGTTTCCTTTGATGACTTCAGCATCCTGATTGCGGAGCGCAGGGCGGGGATTGAGGCGTGCAAACCCGCCTGGACGTCGGCACTGATGCCCGGGGAGACCGCTCTGGGTTCGGAACCGGATCCGCTCCTCGACCTCTGCAGCCGGCTGACATACTCCGGGACTGTGAGTCTGTCTGAGCTGAACATGATGGAGAAATGTCGGTACAGCCTCCACAGGAAGAGCGCCAGAGAGAAGAGCATCTACCGGCGGAAAATACGTCGGTGTCGTAGGATGCTGAGATGTGTTCAGGCTGTTTACAAAGGCCTCTCGGTGATTTCCACAATGCTTTGTAAACAGAACGCACCTCTAGAGATGCGTCCAGCACCGCCTCATGTGTAAATCAATAGTGACAGCTTTCACCAAATTGCATCACCCCTCTCTCTCTCGATGTCATCCCTGGCAGTAAGCCCACAGGCCTGTAAGCAGCTCTTGAGCAGGTCACAGTATGTCTGCGCTTAGTCCTACATCAACAGCTGCTGCTTTGTCTCTTCTCTTGTCTGTCCCACCGACCAATAGATGACATACCGCCTTAACACAATCTGTTTGTAGAAGTGTCCTTAAAGAGGCAAGCACACTGGACCTCAGACTGAAAGCACAGAAAGCTACTCCTACTTGTTTTCCGGAGAATGAAAAAGACTATTGTTGTCTGTCTCCTCTCCTGCATTCACTGAGGTTTTGCAGACAAAGGTCTGTGCTTCTCATACAATATTCCCTCCCACCTTATCTGTCGCACTTTAGCGGCTTTTGTCTCCTGCAAAAATACAAAATGAGATACCGCTCTCCAAAAGTATAGCCCGCGACCTATCCTATCGCATCCGCAGGCTTTCTGTATCTTCAGGGGTCTGCACCGCCCACCGGATACTCTTCCTCCTGTCTCTCCTCCTGCATCACAGCCGGTCAGAGCGTGCTCATCATCGGGCTTCTGTAAACACTGCAGGTCCTCTGCTGGAGGAACTTGAGAAAAACAACATCACAGCTGTGAAGAGCTTATTATTTTATCATTTTTAATTAAATAAATGGATATGACGAATAAAGACTTAAAATATAGGATCATCAGAATCACGCTATGTGTTGTGTAACTACAGAATAATAATTTAATAACATTTATTAAGCGTTTTAATGGGTCCAAATGCCGAATATGTATTGTGTGTCCTTAGTAAGTCAAATATTTTGAATTACATTTTAAAAATAAATTAATATTACTGTTGAATTCATGTTTATTAGATGCTAAGAGTCGAAGCGAATGTAGCGAACCTTGCTAGCTGCCATTTATTTGCAGTATTAGCAAAAATACAGCAACACCTAACAATGTGAACCTTGAATGTGAGTAATCCATTATATTGTAAATGATTAAGTCTATTGTAAGCTAAACATGAACATGTTATTTTTGCAACCTTACATGAGACCAAGTTTTAGCTTTAAAACATAACATTACCTGTAAGTAATAACATTTTATACATTTGTTTTGGTTGTTTTGGAGGATATTGAGGTCAATATGTCATGCAGTTTTATAATCTTCAAAAAACCTAATGTTACCTCTGCTTTAGGACCCAACCAGAGCCATTAAATAAGACCCAACCAGAGTTGGGAGTGGGAAAGTATTATTCCAGAGAACTTTCTACAGAACTTTTTACATTTCTTTTTAAAAATAAACACAAAGGTCACCATAGGACACAGGGTCTCAGTAGGTCAGGGGAGAAGCAAACATAAAAGCTTGTGAAGGAGCCTTCTGAACCATTTCTCTTGGTGCTCTGTGTGCTCTCTCGCTCAACAGAAAAGTGACATTTTTGTCAGTGAGGTTTTGTCACAAGTCTTTGAGGACCCAGATTATAAAGCATCCTCCTCCGATGAGAATGAGACCCTCCTGTTGTTTTACAACCACCAACATTTTGGCAGGAGTGTACAAGTCAAAAGGTGAAGCAAGGTGCAAACATGCACTCTCTGCACATTATGTGCACAATATGGTGCAGACAAAAGTGCAGGCTAGACTGTACCTTCTGGTGGGTTGTAGAAAAAATAGTATGCTGTTCATATTCTGCCAAACTAAGTGGTTAGCACTGTTGCCTCATCACAAGAAGGACGTGGGTTCGAACCCCGGTTGCCCCGGCCTTTCTGTGTCGAGTTTGCATGTTCTCACCGTGTCCGCGTGGGTTCTCTCCGGGTGCTCCGGCTTCCTCCCCCCAAATGGTATGGATGTGAGTGTGAGTGGTTGTTTGTCTATGTGTGGCCCTGCGATGGTCTGGGCCCTGGTGACCTGTCCAGAGTGTACCCCGCCTTTCGCCCGATGTAAGCTGGGATCGGTTCCAGCCCCTTCGACCCTGTACGCAGGATAACCGGTTGAGGATGGATGGATGTGCCAGGGGGGACCCATGACCTCCATACTGCTAAAATCCTGGTACATTATCAAAAACAAAACTGCTGCTTGAACATTACACACAAAAGTACATACACACAAAGACAAAAATTAAGTCTGGTGTGACTTGCTTTCCTTGCTTTTAAACTACTCCATAGGCTATTTATAAGCTTGTAACCTGGGTGTTTTAAGAGACGGCACAACAGGCCAGTACTTTGGTCGTAACTGAGGCCTCATAGTTACAAGCTACATTCAGGTCTAGTCTTGTCTTGACTGACTGAGTAGCATTACTTAAAATCATAGACTGTATAGAGCCACTGCTCTGTGATCACTAAATGACCCACAGATTGCAGTAAAAAGCAATTAAGCAACAAGGTCAGCTGATTGGTCACATTGCTTAAAGTTTGGTTTTCTATCGATCTCTTTCTCTCTTTGTGCCTCTGTTTATTTGCTCGAGTAGAGAGAGGTTTGCAAATAAGGTTAAAATAAACAAGGAAGTGGGGTGACTAACACATGTTTCCAATGATTGGGAGCACATGGTCCTTCATTACTTTCTCATTCTGTCCTTTCGCACAACAGAGGCAACATGAGGCTGTGGGCCGTGCTGCTGCTCGCTCTGCTCGCTCAGGCTTTATCTGCAGATGGTAAGTAAAATATTTAAAAATCAGCTTTATAGTTCAGAAAAGTATTTGTGGTAAACAAATAGAGTGTTGCCGGTTGTTGTTCATCCTAGTATTAACGTGTTACAGTCAGACTCTTATCAGCAGCTACAACTACATATTATATAAAAGAACATTTAACAATATATGAATTCATTAAATTCTTCATTTGTTTAACTGTTAGATCACAGGGTGATGCAATCAGAGTAATCAACTTTTGGATGCCCTGTCAGATGTGTTTATTACAGTTAGGACTGCTATGAACAATTTTATTCATTATCTTTGTGAAAATGCCCAATGCCCAGAGCTCAAAGTGATTTCTTGTCCAAAAACATTTGTTCAATTATTATCTATTAAGAATTAATACTATACAAAACATAGAGAGCAGCAAGTTATCATATTTATGAAGCTGGGGCCTGTGAATCTTGTGCATTTCTGCTTGATAAATTACTTCAACAATTATGTCAGTATCACAGTAGTTGTTCTTTGATCAATCAATCAACTGTTTGTTTCAGCACTAATTTCAATTATGAATACAAACAGGAAGCGATAAGAAGACAGAGCTAACTAAAATGACAAGAAAAAATACTATTAACAATAAAGAACAACATGTCCCATGAGTCTTTTCTTACTGACATGCTGTCAAAGCCTCAGGGGAGCTGTGATCAAATCCAACTTAACTTTATTATCCAAAGGATGAAATTCATTTTGTTAGAGGTGCAAACAAAACAGAGAAGCATTAAAAAAAATACATCAACAAAATAGAGGTGATTTATTTTCTTTAACTCATTTATCCTCAGAGTCCTGTATGGGTCGCTGTGAGAATGGCTTTGACTCTCAGAAGAAGTGCCAGTGTGACTCCATGTGCAAGTATTACAAGAGCTGCTGCTCTGACTTTGAGGTTGTTTGTGGCATGACGAGTAAGAAACCTCTCTGCTCATTTGTTTTGGATATGGTCATGTTATGAGTCACAATAGTTCGGGGAACAATGGTCACTGATATCACTTTTTCCCCCTCAGCTCGTGGAGACACGTTTGTGTTTGCAGAGGATGATGATGATGATGATGAGTTGTTTGATGGCACCCCTCCCTTGAGACGTACACACGACATCTCTCCTTTCACCGCCATCAGTCGTCTGCTGAGGCCCACGCAGCAGCCCATCTCAGACTTTGGTCGCAGACCACAGGAACATCCAGAAACCACACTAGAAATGACCAAACCCCCACGTCCGATGGATGCCACGCTTGAGAAAATCCCTGTTACACAAGAAACACCAGTTTCACACACAATGCCACCTCCACAGAATGACCCAATTACGACCAAGCCCCCTCAGACAGATGCAGCAGCGACCACTGTTCCTGTCACAACAGCCACCACTGAAGCCCCCGACCCAGACGCAGTGGCCTGCAGTGGGAGGCCTTTTGACTCCTTCATGCAACTGAAAAATGGCTCCATGTATGCTTTCAGAGGTGAGCGCCTGGCGATGTAATCCAATAATGTAGTAATCTGACATTTAATAAAGGTTTCTTCTACAAAGTTTACCGTTTGCTGTAGACTACTCTCTCTGTTGTAGGGGAACAATGTTTATGAAATTAAGTTTTTTTTCTAGGGGACTACTTTTTTGAACTGGACCAGCAGTCAGTGCTTCCTGGTTATCCAAAGCTCATAAAGGACGTGTGGGGCATCAGCGGGCCGATTGATGCTGCCTTCACCCGCGTCAACTGTCAAGGGAAGACTTACATCTTCAAGGTGGGGACACAGGAAGTGATCTTGTATTAATTTGACCTGTCACAGGTGTGTCAGACGCCTGCTGTGATAACAAATACTTAAAAACTTTCATTAGGGAAACAAGTACTGGAGGTTTGATAACGGTGTGCTGGAGGAGGACTATCCTCGAGATATCAGCGTGGGCTTTGACAAAATCCCTGATCATGTGGATGCAGCGTTTGCTCTGCCTGCTCCTGGTCACAACGGAAAAGAGAAGGTCTATTTTTTCAAAGGTACAGCCAGGTATCACATAATTTGTCCAGATATTTCTAGAGAATATTTGGTATTTTGAACGTGTGATACTGTGGAAAATATTTCTCATATACTGTGCATAACAGAAAGTTACTTTAATGTGAGTTGGGGCATCTTGTTGGTTTCTCCAGCGGATCAGTATTACAAGTATGAGTTCTTGCACCAGCCGTCCCATGAAGAGTGTATCACCATGTCTGAGACGTCTCCGTCCACAGTGTTCAGGCGCTACACTGACGTATACTACAACAACTATGAACGTTTTTTTAGCGAGCTCTTCACTGACTGTGAGTTGCGGTGTTATAGATCATTTGTACTGGTTTTGTAGCAGAAGCAGGCGTTGTCACTTGTACAGCTTCATGTTTGTCTAACCTTCTTTAGTGCCTCAGCATCACGACAAACACCACTTCATTGAGAGGGACTGGAAGGGCGTCAAGTCTCCAGTGGACGCTGCCATGACAGGCAGAATGTACGTCCCTCCCAGGAGGGCCACGCGTCGCCGCAATGACTACCGGCCTGGCCAGCAGTGGGATCAACAGCAAGGGCAGCAGTGGAACCAGCAGTGGGGTCGTAGGAGGCAAAGCCGTTCGCCCTTCTGGGGGTCTATGGGACAGGACTTTGCGGAAAGGGGGATGGAAATGGGTCTGAGGTTGGCAGAGAGGAGGATGGAAATAGAGGAGAGGCTCGGACGAGACTGGGACAGACAGTGGGATCAAGACTGGGACCAGAACAGACGAAGAGATGGTTACCACCAGAACAACAGAGGCAACTACAACTCCAGAGATGACAGTTTGCACTGGGAGTCCATCCAGAGGAATCTGCCCATGCAGAGCGTCTACTTCTTTAAAGGAGGTAACACAACAGGGACAGATTCATGAGCAGTGCAGTGTAGGTTAGTGATGCAGTCATACAAAACATTTTAACATATTCATTCAATCAACCTTTAGCCCACTGGATGAACCAACTGGAGTTATTGCTATTGAAAACTAAGATATGTATTACAATTAAGGGCTGCTTCTAACAATTATATTCATTATTGAGTAATTGCTTATTCTTTATAATATCAGAAAGTAGTGAAAAATGCTCACTGATGTCCAATATGACATCTTAAAATAGCTTCTTCAGTCTGACCAACAGTCCAAAGCCTAAATATATGTAATTTACAGTGACATAAAACTGATAAAAGCAGCAAATCCTCACATTTGAGAACCTGTAACCTGTGAATGTTTGTCGTTTAATGAATAATTTTAACATTTAAGCGATTATCAGATTACTTGTCATCTGTTGGTTTCAGCACAAATTACTAAATTAAGAATGCAAACAGAATATGTTAAGCAGGCATTAAATATAGAGCTAGCTACAATGAAAATGAAATAGCAAAAATTAAGAGCAGCGCATGTTATGAGTATTTTCTAAATGCTGTTAAAATCTCAAGGGAGCTGTAATCCAACTTTATTATCCAAAGGAGGAAATGCCTTTGGTCAGATGTGCAAAGAATACACAGAAGCAGGACAAAAATACTTCAACTAAACAATAGTGACAACCTATGAAAAGAGAAGTTGTACACTGTCATCTCAGGTTGCAACTTCCGGTATGTTCTCGCTTCGCATCTGCGGGCTTCTCCTTCCTGTTCAAAATAAAAAACACCCCTTTTTCCTAAGATCTTGTCTGAGCTTTTTTCAGACAGACTGATGAAAGAAAACCTCTGTGAGAAGAGTTACAGATGTCGAGGGCAGCTGGTAGAGTGGACAGGAACTCAGTAATCTCATCAAACTTTCCCCACCTCCCTCTAGCCACAGACGACTTATTATAACTAGTTTCACATGCTATTTATTCGTCCACATGACAAAGAAACAGATGGCTAAAATCAGTGCTGTTCCCCCTTTAATCTTAGAATCAAAGGATCTTAATACTTTGACTTCAGAGCACCAGTTCTGACCTGCCTCTGACTATCCCGCTCATCTCAGGTTATCCAGAGAGGGAAAATGAATCTGACTTGTTGTATGTGTTTTCTAGATAAATACTACAGAGTGGACCTCAGGAGCAAGAGAGTTGACCCTGCCGTGCCTCCATATCCCAGATCCATCGCCAAATACTGGCTCGGCTGTTCAGGCACCTCCGGGGCAGAGAAGTAGTTTCAAATGTTTATATTAAAAGTGATCAATTTATACTAAATTTGTATATAATGAATGATTCATTTTAACCAGAACATGCAGTGTTGGCTGTAAAAGAAAAATAAATAAATAAAAAAGCTGGTCAAACATGTTTAGTGTAACACATAACAAGCTGCTCGTCAACTTCAGCAAATATTGGAGATCAGTGAAAGTCCACACACTGCTCGTCAGGGCCAAAGTTCAGCTGCTTGATTTTATGAAATCTGTTGTCAACAGGTACAAGGTTTTATATTTTAAAGATTCACTGCTTCTCATTTCTTATTTTTCATTGTCATAATAATTAACAAGCTTGTTACATTGCATCATTGGCAGAATATAGCATTTACTATATTAAAGTACTGTATTAAAGTACAATTTTGAGTTTGAGTTTATTATACTTTATAATTCTACTACACCACATTTCAGAGGGAAATATTGTCATTTTTACTGCACTACAATAATAATTTGCAGATATTACATACAATCCATATAATGAATTTTAGAGCTCAAACTAACCAGGAGTATATAAAGTAGCTCCCCTCAATCAGATGTGTGAATATGTGTGAATGCAGCGGTAATAATATTCCAATAATATGACATACATATATATATAATACTATATCACTCAGGGGCCACTCTGACCTTGTGTGTGTACTTTTAAGTAGTGTTGTAGTCAAGACCCCCCAAATCGAGACCAAGTCAAGACCAAGACCAGAGTTTATCTTGGTCTTGACTGGTCTTAAATCCCGAGTCCTCAATGTCTGAGACCAAGTCGAGACCAAGACCGAGGGAGGGCGATACCGAGTCAAGACCAAGTCCAGTTCCCCACATTACATGACACACAATAAAATGTGGAACAAGATTATATGTACTTCTTAAATTGATCTGAAAGATCCACATTGCCATTAAAACACCCACATACAAACACTAAAGTGCAATTTATACTCCTGCGTCGAATCGACAGCGTAGCCCCCTACAGATGAAATCAACACAAGCATCTTTATTCAACACTCCTTTTCCACGCCTACCATCGCGGGAAGGGGGGATAGCCAACACTTTTTTAATTAGGGTTATTGGTTGCATTTGAAGCAATATGTTTTACATCCAATCAAAGTTAGGATGTTAACAAATAAATCCAACAATACAAAAGCAATTTATTGATATTCCCAAAGTTATGGTTGTAATGGGAATTTCATGAGTACCATCTTTAAAACACTGCCATATAACTAGTCTCACTAGGGGCCTCCAGCCTCTTGGGTATGGGGTCAATGGAAGGTAAATTTGTGTGATGCTTTCACATATGTCCAGAGGGGTCAGGACTTTAAATGGTTTAAGTGGCTTGACTGGTCTTGAAATAAAATCCTGAGTCCTCAATGTCCGAGACCGAGACAAGACCAAGTACAAATGTGGTCGAGTCTGAGACGAAACCAAGACCATCAAAAAGTGGTCTTAAGACCGGTCTCGAGTACTACAACACTACTTTTAAGGGCTTTGACTTGCAACAGATTATTTTTGCAGAGTGGTATTTCTACTTTTACTAAAGATCTGAGGAAATACATTCAAATACCCACACAGACAGTAATTCAGAGATGTTTTCTAAATCATGTATCAACAAATTTCAATGTGTTTATTTTCATTAGTAATGGTGAACATACAGTGAATAGGAAAACTGAAAACTCTCATGACATGATGGAGGTTTCATGATGAAAAGAAAACTCCCTGAATTGCAATAATGTGGGTTTCACCCGACAGCAGCATTACGTGACAGGTGCATTTGTGCTTGAGGGCACTTTGACTAAAGTTCGTAGATGTAAAAACATTCTTACAATTACAGTTTTCTGACCTCTACTGGTAAGAGGGCAAAATATAAAACTATAATCCACTGGCAAAGCAGCCTTGTCGAATTGTAGGGGCCTTTGACAGATGTCTAAAGGGTGTGCTGAGTAGTGATTCAGAATGAGTCACATTTTATTGCATTTTTACAACCTGTTCCAGTCTGTTCTTGTACTTTTATCCATGACAAATAAAAACATCAGTAAAGCAGCAGAGTCAAATCTTATTTACTCAAATCTTATTTGATTAAATTATACCAGTTGCTTGATTTAAGAACAGAGTTTGTGATGTTTTCCAACTACTATGATATTGTTTCCGATTTTTTGCTCTCGTCTTCCTTGTACAAGCCAGATGTTCAAAATGATTTTCCATAAAAGACTATTCTCCAGTCTTTGTGTCTGTTTATCCCTTCTGAGTCAAGACACAGATATTATAGTAGATATTTTTGTCACAAATTCTGCATAATATTAGCTGTTCTTTTACATAACTTTGACCAGTGACACCATAATTAAAAAATCACCGAGCTGTAATTTACTCAGATTTACAGTAGTTACTACCTGTGTGCTTTTAGCATTGTAGGATTTGGATCAGACCTGCTGACATATTAGATTCTCAGAGGTTATGAGTGTTGAATCATGACATTTTCATAGCAGGGTTCATCATTGACACTGACCACTGCGCCTTCATTGGCGATGACCTCAGTGAGACTCGCAGTGTCTCCAGCTGGTCCCACAGTCAGGTAGTTGCTTTCAATCCTTCCTGCACTGGGGTCACCACCCTGCCTTGTGTCTCCCTCAGCCCTCAGATCTGACCCTGAGTCAGCTGAAGCCACCTCTGGCACGCTCTGCAGAACGAACGACAATGGCCTTTTTGGAGTGCCACTCTCTGGTGGAGTGTCATTAGCGCCGGCTGTGTCAGTGGAGTTGAGAGAAGCATGCTTTCTTCTGATTGGCTTACATATGCCAACCTCCCCTCCTGGCGGCCCTCCCTGCTCCCACACACTCGCCCGAGCTCCGAGCTTCTTCCTGGGTGGTTTGGTGATCCCCTCAGGTGCCTTACGCTTGGGCCTTCCAGACTCCTGCTCCCTTTGCCTCTGGAGGCTGCCAAGTCGCCGTAGCATGGCCTGAACGGGTCCTTCAGAGCTCGACTCCAGCTTTGAAACAGGCTTACCTGCCTTACCTACCGTCACGTGCACTGTGGTGACTTTATTTGAGACCCCTACTTGAGTATCAGAGGCAGATGTTGGCAGCTGAGTCCCATTATGAGTAGCTGTGTTGGACATAGTCCGTCTTCGTCCTGATGCACCGGGTACCTGCAGCGTGGCCCGGGATGGAGTTCTTTCTACTTCCTGGTCCCCTACCTCATAGGTTGACTCCTGATTATCTGTCACCTGCACATCCACTTCATCTTTATGCTCCTCACCCTCAGCTCCATCTTCCTCCCCAGTTCTAGCTGCACTTGCCTGATTTTGGAGGGCAGAGAGCATCAAAACCCCCCAGGGTGACTTGGGCTTGTTGCGTGGGTGTCCAGGCAAAGCGCCAGGGTCCTGAGCCGAGCCACGCCTCTCCTTTGGGCTGAAGCGGGTGCCCTCTGCAAAAGAGACAGACGGCCGCTTGGATTTGGCGATGCTGGAGGTGCGAGGGATGTTGAAGGGCGCGGTGATGTCCTCACTGCTGAAGCTGGATGGGTCTAAGAACATGTTACACTTTGAGCTCATCTCCTGGAACTCGCCACCTGCCATTGCCGGGATGTCTGCCAGAGAGAAAGAGACAGAAGAAGTTCAGCGACATAAAAAGAGAGCTCACCACTAAAAGAGGGCAATGTAAAGTTTGGCGTGTCCATGTTCCCACCTTCCCTTGGAGGGACACAGTAGAGCGCCTCTCCCTCCTCCTCGTCAGTGTCGAAGGATGACCCCTCAGTCACCCAGCCAGAGGAAGGAGGCTCAATGAAGCTGTGGTTGAACGTCAGCTCTGGGTCATGGTGAGAGACTGTATGTGTGTGACATGAAAAATAGATTAGATTATAAAAGATAGGGACACATTTACTTTCTCAGGAGCTCAGATACTTTTCATTTAAGTAATTAGTAAAAATTTTCTTTTTTTTGTAATGTTATATACATTCTGTACTGAAAAGTCTGTCCATGTTGTGAGATATGATGATAAAAGATTACCATATGTATTACTGTATTATGCAGCATTATACTGTGAATACTGTGCTGCTGGACTGACCAGTGACACGAGGCAGGCCAGACGACCAGTTAGAGATGCAGGGAAGTGCAGCACCGATGTTTGCCAGGACTCTATAGACGTGATATTTCATCCGAACAGACAAGCCTCCATCCACCACAGTTTCCCTGGAAGAAAGAAGGTTACAATGGTTTAGATAGTCAGACTTTCACACTGTTGCACAGTGCCGTAGTTGAACTGAATGTCTTTCCACCACCCAAAAATGTCATGATAATATCACAATTACCAATTTTAAGGAAGAATTAAAAAGTTAATACTTCCAGAGTCTGGGGAGTGTTACATAAATATGGTCCTGTTTGGGCTTATACAGTATCCTAAGTGGATATGAATGTTGATAGAGGGAAGTGAGGTACAGACCTGTCTTTGCCATCATCAGGTCCTCCTCCACAACACAAACAGCAGCAGAGCACAGCAAGGAGCAACAGGAGCAAAGGAATCAGCACGCCCGCTATTACAGAACCTCTGACACCTGATACACACACACGCATCAAGAAACATGTGATGCCCTTCAGGCTCATACACTAATCCATGCACCAGTATACACAGATACATTTTGATGGATGGATGGACAGACGGATAGACGGACATACTGTTGGGACAGGCACCAGAGACTGGGTGGCACCGCACCCCCTCACCACAGTAACAGGCAGAGGAACAGTTGGGGCCAAACTGCAGGGCGGGGCAGCTGCTGTTACAGCTGGGAAAAAAACATAAAACCATGTAATTACACTACAGCAAAAAAAATGTGTATGAACACTGAATCATGATTTTAGTGACTAATAAACATTGCAGAGTCATAGAGAAGAAGATTAAAAGGACCATAATGGAGGTTAATCTGCTAACCTCAAATTACATTTACTGAACAACTTTGTTTTATACACTTAAATTACATGTGTCTTGGTTTCAAAAGTCCCCTTCTTCAGGCTAATTCCCATGAATCTTTTCATGTTTGAGGACTGTTTGTCCTCAACAGCACTGCAGTCCATGACTGCAAAGTGCTATTTGGATGCCAGAGGTTCCTTGAACGCACCAGCAAAGAAGATCCATGCTCGCAACGGCATTACTACTTATATTAAGGTTGACAAACATAAAACAGTAATGTACGTTTCAGTGTAGTGGTTAATGGATTAAAACTAAATCTTTCAAAACAAAGGTATAGTGTATGTATCATTTAGCTGCCTAGACTAAATTTACTAGTTAGATCTGTTTAGCTAATAATGTGGTTAAAGACTGTGTATCCATATTTTAAAGCATTTCTCTCAGTTTAAGAGGAATAAGAATCTGCTGACACCGCGGCCATTTTCAGGCTTTCATAACAACAAGAGGCATGACTAAAAACCAAAACATAAAGTGAAACTGTTTCATTTTAGTTTATCCTACTTGTGTAGCTATCACAAGAATAATGCTGTCAACGAAGTGTGTTGGTGTGGCTGGTTAAATGATCTGTGTGTGTGTGTGTGTGTGTGTTTTTTAAACTATAACTATGTCCAAAAACGAAACACTGCTTTCATTTGCTCACCTCTCTCCCTGAAAGCCTGGCTGACAGACACATCTTCCTGTCACGTGATGGCAGTACCCGTGGAAACAAGGGCCACACGGGAAGCTGCAGCCGTCTCCAAACGTCCTGTTCGAGCAGGCCTCCTCACACCTGGCGAGAGGGAGCGATGATGAAAATGGTAATAGGCATCAATCTGACCGAGAGTTCATTTTCTAATCCTAAACATCAGCCTCACTACATGTGTAACTATTTCAACTGATTTTAGTCTTGTTCACTTTTATGTGGATATTTGTCCCACACATGTATCAATCCATTTAAAGTATACACACTCTTTAGAAATGTGAAGCAAAGACAAGATCAACGAGCATTTTCACACAACTTTTAATCATTATAAAAGTAATGTATTTGACTGATGTACTTTTAAGCTAGATGTTCCTCCTTCCAGGCCGCTATCTGCATCCATTTCCACAAAGTATGAAAATCAATCAATGAACTTGTTTGCTTATTCATCACATGTTGTCAGTGAATGGCAACAAAGTAGTGAGCTGTGACCAGCAAAAACAAAAGCTGTATGCACCAATAGGGAAGTGTTTTCACTTCCCAGATAGATGATAATGTACCTTTGGACAGAAATAACTACTATTAAAATAACTATGACAGACTGACTTAGAAGCATGTTGAAATCTCTGCAGGTTCATTTTCATAACAAGGTGAAAGAAATGGTAACCAACAGATGACTGAGATGTAGATGCTGATATCGTATGGTATATGTTCTCAAACTTTGGGTTGGGACCCAGTATGGGGTCGCTTGATATGCTGACAGGGTTGTAGGATATTTCTAAGACTGAAGAAGTTTGCTGATCTTATGTTGATGTATTTTAATAAAACATTTATAAAGTAAGAGGTAATTATTATTATTATTATTATTATACATGTCAACTCTATAATTGCCTTGTCTCATGATGTATTTTGTAAAATGGTTGGTTGTAATATAATCATTGTATTGTATTGTATGTAGTCATTTGTTAGACTAAAACCTGAAAAACCAAATGATGCGATAACCTTCGCTGTAACTTAAAAACAGCATGGTCATGTATGGGTCAAACGCGCATGCGCACCTGGGTCCAGTCCATCCAGGGTCACACCTCCAACATCTCCCAGTTTTTGGTTCACAGGGTTCATTATTTCTGCAACGTGGACAATTCTCCTGACAGCCGTCACCGTAATAACCAGACGGGCACGAGCGGTCGCAGCGTGTACCATTCCAGCCGGGCTCACAGGCATCACAGGCACCATCAGTGGGAGAGCAGAGCTGGTTGTCTTTGCAGAAACCACAGCTTAGGACAGGAGATACAAACAGAAAGAGAGAGACAGAGAGAGAGAGTTAACATTGACACAGGTATTTAAAACAAACTAATGTATCCTACGTTACACCTACCTCATTTTACAACCACTGCCATACTTCCCAGCTTCACAGGGCTTGTTGCAGAAGAGACCCTGGTACCCCAGGTGGCACAGGCACTGCGCGTTGGCTGGGTCACAGCTGCTGTGTTTGAGGTCACAGTTACATCGCCGGTCACAGCTGGGTCCCCACCAGCCTTCCTCGCAGTCACACACACCGGTACGCTCATTACATGCCGACAGGTAGCAGTTGCAAGTGACGGGACATTTCATACCCCAGTAGCCCCTCTTGCAGTTACACCGGCCTGTTAGCTGGTCGCAGCCGGGGCCAACAGATCCTTCGCTGACACACTGGCACGGTTTGGAGCAGGATGGCGTCCACCAGCCCTCGTTGCAGGTGCAGTTACCGTGGACGGGGTGGCAGTGGCCATGCCGGGCGCACTTGCAGGCGTTCTGGCACAGCGGACCCCAGCGGTTAGGGTTGCAGGTGCACTCACCCGTGACGGGGTGACAGCGGCCATGTGGGTGGCACTGACACACCTGGCGACAATCTGAGGCCCAGAACTCAGGAGGACAGCCTGACCAAACACAGAGAATACATGAAATGCATAATACTGGGCAAAAAACACGGTGTGTGGAATGTAAGGACATTTACTCAAGTACTATACTTCAATATTATATAATACAGAGACTAATATTGCAGTTTCTACATTTGACAGTAGTAACTTGCGACTTTTCATAAATAAAAATACGTAATAAGTAAAATACAATGTGTTGTTGAAAACCACTGGCCCCTTAACTTTTTAACTTTTTTTCCTGATGTATTAATAACAATAATGTGCTAGTATAATACAATATAAGGCAATTTTTCTGAAGAACAAGTACTTTTACTTTTGATACTGTAATTACAGTTAGCTGATAATACTTCTGTACCTTAAATAGGATTTTGAATGAGGTATTCCTTTTAATGCTTTTATATTGTTGTATTGGTATTTAGATGTAAGTTAAAGATCTGAATACTTCTTCCATCACTGGTTTCTTACAATAAATGATCTTGCAGTGAGTCACGTTATTGTTGTTTGGTATTTAAATAATCTTTTCATTTAGCAAAGGGGTCAGTGAGCCACATTATACAGTGTGTGATAAACCGGAGCAGGTCAAATGCTATTTATGAGAAACATTTACAGTTTTATGATATTAGTATCAACTTAAGTCACTTTATGCAAAACTGAAATACTTGCAATATGTGCATTGTAAATCAAACTGACAAAACACACACATCAGTTAATTAATGCTAAACAGCTCCTGTTGTTCAGTGTGACTCACGTGTTTTACAGTGAGCTCCGTAGTAGCCAGGTGGGCAGCGACACACTCCAGGATACACACAGATCTCATCCTTCAGGCAGGCCTGCTCACCCTCACACACAGCTACTCACACACACACACGCGCACGCACACACACACACACACACACACACCGACAGACATTCAGCATACCAGCGAGTGAGAAATCAGGACAACACAGCAAATATGTAGGCAGTAAAAAGCATAATTCCTGCAGAATGCTTTCCATTTGAATAGTTAAAACTCACGTATAGTGCACTCCTTTCCCTCTTGACGCCATCCAGTGCAACAAACCAGGGTGGAGGGGTCCCTGAATATACAGAAAATAATAAAAACTTAGCAAATAAAACAGCCAGCTTGGTCTGTTAACTTTAACGAAATAATTAAAAGGAAAAGAAGATATAGAATTTAGGCTGTATTCAGACCAATCCAGCAAAGTCCAACAGTCCTTGAGAAATACCTACAATTTGTCACAGGAATACTACTCACTCAGAAAAATACTCAATTGACACAGCAGTGAAAAGATAACAGGCGTGAGTGAAGGTAAAGTTGAAGTGTACCTGATATTGTGGCAGACGTTCCTCCCAGCAGGATCCAGTGTGTGTGAGGACAACGAGCAGCAGATCAGAGCACTCAGAGCTCCAAGGAGAACCCTCATCTCCACACCAAATCCAAAACCAAATATCTTTCTGGCTCACGTCTTTATGTCCAGACTGCTCCTGGCTTTTTTTCTATCTTTTCAGCTTGTTCTCCTTCCAGTCAGAGGGCGCACAATGAAAGGCAGTATCTCTCTTTCTGTCAACCCTCCAACCTTCCCTCCTTCCCATTCTCTCTCTCTCCTGTGAGTCGTCTTGTGGCTCCACTGCAGCCAGAGAGGTCGATCCCCTGTGTTTCCTCTTCCCATTTCCTGGGGAAGTCAGAGTCACTTCCTTCTATTCAGCCAGACACAGAGCTTTTTAAAGATGGACGAACACGAACACACAAAACTCGCCGCACACACTGGTGGGACACAGGCAAACACAGACAAATACACCCCTGATATCACCTTTTTCCCAGAATCTATTGTTGACAATCTTCCAGGGCATGATGAAGCCTTCATCCTCCTCATATATGATCACGTGAACACTTACAGCTCCTGTAAAGAAACAGTAGGGTGTGTTTTGTTCTTGAATGAAGGAAAAAAATGCACTGAGATCAGTTTGATGTTCAATCCAATGTGTTTAATGGATTTGATTGGATCTTAAGACCTCGCTATCACAGAGAAACTCCACATTATGATTTGTTTTATCACATTTCATCAATAAAATTCCCTCACATCCTAAATGACATCTTAGATCTGCTTTCGTCTGTGAAAACGTTCCATTAAAAACATTCTTACAAAAATAAATTGCGAACACTATTTCAGGAAAACGTGATCTGATTGGAAGGTCATACATTGTCTCTCAACAAATACAACACCAATGTGTCATTGTCTGAGTGTGAGTGCTACCGTCAGACATTTACAGGGAACAGAGGGGTCAGACAGAGTGAGTGTGGTTACTTTGTGGCAACTCGTCAGCTAATGTGGGAACTAAAAAAAATAAATATAAACACGGTATTTCTCATTTCCACAAGGAAGCTCATTGCTTCCTTTTAATGTGAAGTAACCAACAGGCAGAAGTCTGTTCCACACACACGTACACATGCACATTTATGGCACCACCCTCAAAGAAACACCAGCCAAAGGCTTTGGCTCTGTGCAATGACTCAAAACAATACAAGCAGCAAGTTAAGGCTTAAGGGGTTAAAATGCACTCACTGCTGGAACAGGCTGGTATTATGACTACAACTTTCTTTTTTTCCTTTTGAGCATACAAGTGCTTAAAATCATGAAAAATACACGAGTAAACACTTTAAACAATTAAAATACATGTCTTCAAAATTCCCCCACTGAGGTAAAGGTTTCATGATACAGTTGTGGTAAAATATATAGTAATAAAACACCCTCTTAATACCTTAATATACTGTTCTCCATATTACAAGTGGAGAGTTTGATTTCATAATATATACCTTTGTAATGTCTTTGGTGTTAAATTGTTTGAGGATCTATTGGCATATATCATAAATAAGGAAGCATCTTTTTATATTTATTTTGAAGAAAGTATCCCTCTTAATACTGCAGTACGCTGTGTACCACATGTTTTGTAGTTAAATAGTTTTCCTCCTATTTATCACTTCTATGAAAAAGTCAGGGGATTTGGGGCAAGAGTGAAAGAAACAAAAAGGAAAGTGAAAGTAATTATGATCAAAATAAAAAGCAAAAGAGAAAGCTGAAGAGTTTGTTTAAAAAGGTGGACACTTTCTCTTTCCTCACACTCACATAGTGCTTTTGTGTTATACACACTGGGGCTGCATTCAAATGTCCAACCAGATTTTCTGTTGTGACAGAGGTGAAGAATGTCTGTTTCAGATCACATGGGAGACAATCTTGGGGAAATCTCTGTGGTCAGTACCAGGCTCAAGGGCACGGTTGCTGCTCCGTCTCATCCGTGGCTTCTGAGTCGCCAATGATTTCCCAGCTGGAGGCTGAGTTGCTCATGTGGGTGGGGCTCCGGCTGCTGCCCGACCGAGTCAGGAAGCCGAAGCTGCAGCCGACAGAGTAGAAAAGACGGGCTTGAGGTTAAGATCTGTACTCAGGGATAACAGCTAAATATAGAGATCTCAGGACAGTGACAGAGAGAGAGAGTTTAAACCGATGCATTGAGTCACAAATGATGTCTGCGGTGTTCCTCATTTAGTTTTTATGGCTCTTTTTTATTCTTGCTTCACATTCATTGAGGGTTACAGTGCAACATGCCACAGTTGTTTAGAGTTTAATTGATCATTCATCTTCAGAAATGCTCTCTACTTGTTTCTCTTTGGAGATTCTGGGCAACAAAAAAGACCCAGCTGTATTTTCAGTCCTGACCAAAAACATGAACGTGAGTCTGAACATATTACTAAAGTACTGTAAGAAACACTGTCAACACTGTAAGAACATATTAAGTTAAAGCATTACGCTTCAATTGGTAAATCCTCAGGGTTCACATCCCTCCCATGCTTCAAGCAAATGGCATCAAGATAATCCTGTGCAGAGAATCGCTGTCTGATCTCTGTCATTAGTACACAACCAAGGTTATCGTAAACGAAGACGAACGGAATAACGAAAACTAGATGAGAAAAAACATTGCCGTTAACTCAAATAAAAACGAAGCTTTACAAAAAAAACGATAACTAACTAAAACTATGTTGTAGGTTTGCAAAACTAACTAAAAGTAACTAAAATGAAAGAGTAAAAGTCCTTACTTTTCGTTTATTTATTTATTTATTTCAGAGAACCGAAGCCTACATTTCAAGTAGTGATCTGTGGATCGTTCCTAAAGTATCGATATTTCTGATACCAACGTTTCCTGCTCTAGGATCGATACACATATAAAAGGATCGATATCTAAAGTCATTTGGAGTGAGTGTGTGTTTTATCATAAGTATCTTACTGTCACCAGGATGGTCTAACTACTAGGTTGATAGGAACTACTTTTCCTTCCGCCTGTCAAAGTCATGCTTGCGCTACGGCTCTGTGACCGAGCTTCTATGAAGTGAGCCGCTGAAGCCCTTTACATTTCCCGAGATTGAATACTGACTCTGGCTGACTGTAAAAACAGTCATGTCTGGCTGTATTTTAGTTGTGAAGGTAATAATGTTGCTCTGTGTGATGTGTGTGCAAAGTCAGTGAAATACTTTGGCAACACCGCAAACTTTGCTAAATATCTGAGATTAAGTCAAAATAATATGATGATGTTATGAAGCAGCAGTTCTGAGCAGGATATTTTCATTATAATTAAAGAATATGACAGTAGTTTGATTATTTTGAATTGGTATGGCTACAGCCTACTCCTTATTTCTCTAATAAATACTGAAACGGGAGAGGGAGGTCACATTAAACTAGAAATAAAATATGTAAAAAGTATTGGTATCGGCAATACCAGCCTGGGTAAGTTGTACTCACAGGTTTCGAATGCGTGACTCAGTCGGTTTTCCACTGCCGTCAACTTCTGTACCATCTACTTCTGTCTGCCCAAACAAAGAACTCCTCTCTTCCTCGTCACTGGAACAACAACAACAAAACCGTGTTCTCTTCTGAACATATTTCTACATCGACCCATTATTTCTGGATATAACAAAATTGTGTTGTGTGTGTAGGTGCGGTGTGTGTATTTAAGAGACCTGCTGCTGCATTCGCTCACAGGAATTCCCAGCATCTTTGCCTTAATGAGTGTTCTCCTTTTTTTGATGGCAGAGCGGACAGCTTCTAACAGGAAACCTGGACACCTCTCTTCATTCAGGATCTCCCTGCACAGACACGCAAACATATTCATCCACATGTAAACAATGCGTCAGAGGTAAGAAACTACATCATCCACATACCCAACAATCAATGTATCTACATTTAAACTAGCCTCAATTTACTAATAAACGTCAGAACTAAAAGACGTCCTCAAAAGGAAGTAGACCCACCTCTGATAGTAGCTGAGCTCCTCCTGCACCAGGAAGAGGTTTGTTTTGAGCTCGTTCCTCTCGAAAATGATGTCTCGCACCTCCTTCTTGGTGAAGCACGGCTGATCGGGATCCTTATGGTCAACCGTCGGCTTTTCCTTTGCCTCACGAGCTGTTTGACTTGGATTGGACTGATGGGAGAAGGGAGAGTCATCAGGTCATACAGACTACTAAAATGCTGATAGTTTGATCTGGTTGGTGTAGATTTGAAAGAAGATGTTAGTTGATAAGTAGCTCAAGCTTTACATTCACTTTCTAAATCTTGTCTAGAACATTTTAGAATGAGTGAAGCAGTAGAATAAGTTAATTGTCCCACAACGTCACACATTTACTTTGAACTGCATAAATAAACGTAACAAAAGCTAATCTGCGCAAGGCCCCTTTTATAGACAAGTAGATGTGAGACATAAGACTTCATGTGAAATATATATAAATCATCATGTGTAAGATGCATGCATACAGGGCTGTTGCTGTTGGTTCTGTCCAGCTGTGCTTGGAGGTTTTCTATCTCTTTGTTCTTCTCTTTCAGGTCGGCCTCCATGTCAGCCTTCCTCTCCACAGTGGTCCTCAGCTGGGCCTGCATCACATTCTGCTTGTGTCGCAACTCCGCATTCATCTTCATGAAGCGCTCCAACTGCTCCTGGAGCTGGACGCACACACACACACACACACACACACACAAACACACGAGCAGTTGCAAGTAGACCTACTAAACAGGTTTAAAGTCCCATCATATATGAATATAGTTCAACCGAAAACAAACAAGCCAGGCCTGAACCTAGGGGAGAAGAGGGGAAGGAAAGAAACCACACAATGTCGACACAAGTGTAGCATTCATTTTAAGGGTGAAAAAAAATGTAGGCAGCCATTTGAGCAAACAGAGAAACTGGTTCAGTTGACCATGAGTTGTTTTTTTCAGCCTTTCACTCAAGTCAACTGACTGCAAAACATTAACAAATACACACCCAGTAATGTGTGCTATTTAAACCATGTGGTACACATGCCTTGACACACACACACACACAGCAGCTGGGTGGGGGTGAAAAGTCTGTGCAGACTTGTCTTAAATGCAGCTTAATCCACAACCACTAACTATGTGTATAATCACTTCCCTCTTTCCCTGATAGTGAACACACTACCTTACATTACATAATGTGTTATTTGATTCTGCCTGTGATACATGACTGTTTAATTATGTGCGTATTTTACAAGGCTCTATGTACAAATATATAAAAATCATAATCTTAGCGTGACAGTAACATAATAAACACTACTGTTATGAGAAAAGCCAACATGCCTTTAAGGAAGCCAGCCTTTGTAGCCACAGCCATATATACTATAAAAGTTTATGTGTCCACGTGTTACAGCAGATCAGCAAAGGTGACAGCTACCTCAAGGCTTTTCTTTCCAGTCTAATGAGATTGTGTCAGTGTGCATGTGCAGACTGTGTTTGTGTCTGCTTACCGCCTCCACCTCTTTGGAGATGGCGGTTATCTCCTGGACTTTGGCCCGCAGCTCATCTCTCTGCTTGTCCACCACCTGCTTCAGCTTCAGCATCACCTCTCGCTCCTGCTGCTGGACACGGTCTGCACACACACACAGACACACATACACACACAAACACAAACACACACACACAGGGTAAGACAAAGAAACCTGTTTTGTGTAAAACCTTTTTCTATCCCTCTTTGCAATGATGGAATAGGTAGTGTATTCTTACATTATATGGTTAATTGATGATCTGCCATTTTGACTAATCTATAATGTAATAAACTAACCATGGGAAATGCAGAAAGTTGAGTGATACAGTGCATACAGGGTATGAAGACATACATCAAAGCTGGATATTTTCATTATAGCCAATCCTACCATTTACATGGTAAAAGAAATATGACAATAGTAATTCTTCTGAGACAGTTAAACTATGTAAATACAGTGGTCAGAGTATACTGCAAGCCCTCTTCTCCTTTAAGAAAATGTATAACAATCAACATGAAACAGATGAAATAATCACATAACAAGTTATTAACATATGACCTATGATTAACTACTTTAATCAAAGTGTTGCAGAAGTGACAGAGGATACATACTTCTAGGTTCAAGTTCACCCAAATCACAAAAAAAAATCTCTTGCTTGCTTCTTGTGTTTTCTTGCCAGATAGTTTTGGTTTTATGTGCCCAAGTTCTTATCCCACCATGTACTGTAAAGGTAAATAGAATTTCGTTTGTGGTGCTCACAGCAGTGGAAAAAAAAACATTTGGAAAAGTTTTTTTCCCGGATTACAAATGCCTATAAATTAGGATAAGCCACAGAGCAGTTTTCATAGGAACTATTATTTTACTAAAACGTCTAACAGCGAGGTCTGTGGATTATCCAGAGTGAATGAGACACTGTGTTCAGAAAGACATTTTACTGTTGAGTTTCTCAGATGTATTTCTGTAATGCAAACATACCACAAATAACATTCATGACAGACATGTCTGATGTGGATATCTCAAAACTTGAGCAAATAAAAACAAAGCTATCGCTCAGCTACATACCATTCATGACTATTCATGGAGAGATGTTTTTTGGTTTTTCAATGATCTGAACAAAGAGAGCCTTTGAACATGCTGGCGCTGCAGCACGGTGTGCCTTTTAAACTATAATTTAGTCCCATACACTTCAATTCTTGTACTGAAATAATCAACAGCACATGTGAACTTCACCTCAGCTGAATGAATTGTGGGAGCCCGATAGCAGTCGCAGTTATCACATGAAATTCATGATCACATTCACCTGCCACATGGCCTTTGTCAAATAAATCACAAGAGTTTTAAAACATTATGTTTCCTTCCAACAAGAGAACGAGTCAGGCAAAAGCGACTCCCCCCTCTGGGTCACATTACCGTGGTGAGTTTTCAGTATGCTGAAATGTATCAGTGAACACAAGCGAAGCTGGGATGTAGGATCTTTTCTGTTTCACTTTGTTAAACAAATTATTAAACAAAACGGATGAACTATATGTCAAATGTAAATGATGTGCACCAACAGAGCATTACAGTTATGCTTTTCTTACAAAATATGGACTATCTAAGAAGTAAAAATACAAACCTACTCTGCAAATATTTACTTTTTCTGTTTTTTTCCCAGTGCATCGTCTTTATGAAACAACCAGTTTGACTGTGTTAAACATCAGTGTTTATCTGTCAACCAGCTGCATTGAATCTGTATAGAAATGGGTGGAGAAGCATTTTTCACAGAAAGTAGAGTTACATACATTTGCATTCTTGAACTGGAGAAGTAAATCTACATAACCAAATGGCCCTGAGATTGATATGCTTGTTTAAAGAAGAGCTAATGGGGGGAAAAAACCCTAAGATTCCGTAGTATATTCAGTAGTATAAACAATACGTAGTGTAGAACCATGAAAGGCTGCTTTTAAACACACAGTCCAGATAGCAAGACCCATAGCATATTTTACATTTAACTTTAAAATCCTAACCTTCCTGTGCATGGCTGCCCTTTAGCCTGCTCTGCAGCTCCTCCCTGTCCTCCAGCAGCTGTTGCACCTGGACCTGCAGCTCCTCACACCTCCTTCTCCACTGCTCCTCCTTCTGCTGCAGCTCCTGCTTGAGAGGATGGGATACAGACTGTAAATGCATAATCTCATGGAAATGGTACTAAACTTTCTGGAAAAAACAAGAGCTGATGTAACTGCCCCTTGTGCTGTTCAAATCTCTTGAGCATGTAGGAATTTGACTATGGCAAAATAGGATCTGTTCAGGCGGGTGTGTCATTTGTAGTGAAGTCATTATGGATGTTTTGTTGAAACGGTTCCAAGACAAATCAACAGCAAATCCATTTACTTTCTCAGCAATGATTTTAACAAGCTGTCATGTCCACAGTGCACTGAAATAATTACAAACCATTTAAAAGATTGGTTGCCACAGTTTCACAACAATAAAAACAATTGTTGTAAACAATTACATATACTACTATGGCAAACTCATGCTGTGGAAGAACAGTACCACTTCCCTCTGCATGTACTGTCCTAATGTCACAGCAGCATAATAGTTCAAACTGTATGAATTTCACACTTTATAACACTGCAGCATGAACCGTACGAATAAAGAGTATTCATGTTTAAAGCCCTGTTACTATGTTGTACTTTTCAGTTTTTGGAACGCTGGCATTTGTGCGGCTTTTTATTATTTTATTTTGTGAGACTTTAAACTTTTACTCCATTACAACTAAAGTATTAAACAATTATTTGACACCCACATTGCTGTGTGTTTACTTTACAGAATGAGGTTTTACAACAGACTGAAGGCCAGATTAACCTGCTTGGGGGTGTCCAAGGCAATATTCAGCTGCTGGGGTCCCATTAAGCCCTGATATCATGCTTTAGAGACTGTATACCGTTACTGCCAATCAAAGTTTACGTTAACTGAATAGCAACAAACCACATATGCTAACTTACACTATTAATTACCCAGTGAAAATGCCCTGGGGCCCAGTGGCCCACTTTACTCTGTTAGCCCAGTAGTGTAACGTTACACTTTACAATAAGCTGCTATACCACAAACCCCATCAACAATAGTGATTTTTGTAAATCCATATCATTAAAGAATGAATAGTCTGCTTTAACTTTGATACTTGGCATTCAAGTGAATTTAGGCTAACGTTACCGTTAGCTAGCTTATTTTTAGCTAAGGTAGCTTAATGTTATAAATTGCATTGTCCTACTCCTACTAAAGATAATTAGCTAAAATCACTGCTGTGTCGCATTACAGTTTTAAACATTTTACACGAATCACTGGTAACATAGGAGGGAAAAAAAATTCTGACAACATTTTCTAACCTTCATTTACAACTGGTTACAACCCCGCTAACGTTAAATAACTGCCAAATAACTGTCGTGCAGCGGTTGCCTTGACGATTCAGACACGGCAGGTATTTCAGCTCAAAGTTGGCAACATAAATCACTGATATCAATCAGATTGGCAGCCACTGTGAGTGATATCACTAGTTACTACTATTACTGTTATCGTTTATATATCAGATAACGGTTCAGATAATAAAAATCAATACAGTGTAAGAATTTAATACGCTCCATACAAGTCTATAATGTTTATGTTTTGGCTCCGTTTGGAAGGCGTCGCCCACGTAAATTGTTAACGTTACTGTAACGTAACGTTAGCTTGTCTCTGGCCTGCCTGTTAACTGTTGGTCACGACCTATGGTAACGACACAATAACGCAGTCGTTACTACGGTTTAATTGACGCACTGTAACAAAATATATTTGACCTAGGATAACGTTAACAGGGAATAGCGCCGTTGGCATAGTGTTTGCAAAATGCTGGAGTGATTAAAAGCGCCCATGTCTGTCTCACCCGTATTTCATTTTTATCGTTGCCCTCCTCGCTTTCTTTCCCCGTGCGTTTCTTCTGCTGTTGCAGCTGTATCGTCTCGAAGGTCTTGAGGAGTTCCTCTTCCTTCAGTTTGTGAGCATGGTTCCTCGACGCGAAGCTCTCCAGCAGCTCCAGCACTTTCACTATTTTCGGCACCAGACCCACGACGCTGTCCTTGCCACAGCCGTCGATCAGTTTCTCCACCTCGGCGCCGATCAGCTTGGCTATTTCATACACGTCGTCCACAGTTAGAGCCGAGAAGGTCCTGTCAAAACAGCCCTCTGTGTTTCTGCTCTCTGACTGTGCTTCAGGTTCCTCCATGTCCGGACAGCTTAGTTCACATGCTCTGTCTCAGCTATCGAAACTGACAGTAGCTCGTCAGCGCAACATGACGGCCGGCCGTAAAACAAGACGATTATATAGAAGTGAAAACAACAAACTAGTTGCTGGTGGAAAGTTTAAAGTGCGTGTACTGTTGAGCCCGCGCTACTGACACGCCTGGACTTGACCTGCTCCTCTTCCAACAACACGTCACGCATCTCTTTACTTTATAGACATATTAACTCAGCCTGCATAAAAAATAATACAAGGACATCGAGTACTCCGCAATGCCATGTACTACAAGGCTGCCTGCACGGTCCAGCACACTAGTGCTCCTGCAGTGTCCAAGATCCTCCTACTTTTCTGACCAATGTAATTCGAGTATACCCACACATCTACATGTAGAAACTAGCCTGCCAGGTCGAGCATACTGATGCATGCACTAGAGCGTGAACATTGAATTTCCTCCAGATCTGCAGTCAGAAAACGCCGACCTATAACTGTCCAATCAATGTCAACCACACAACTAAAATAAAAGTAGTTTGGTAACAGTTTACAACACAGCACACAAACCTGTGAGTAGTTAAGGAGGACCGACCTGATAATTGCTAAAATGTATTTCCAATAATAATATTTAACTTTATAGATGATAAGGGTTTGTTACTAGAGATCAGACAGAGATAATATACTAATGAATCATTAGTCAATATGCGAATTTCTTGATTGACTCGTCAGCCACTGAGCTGCACTAAACTAGTAATGACATTAGTCATTACTTAATCATCAGTTAGCGTCCAAGCAAAGTGATATGAGGGGGACCCATGAAGGTTAATTAATGGTCAGGTAGTCATGCGGTAAGAGGGATTACTTAATATAATTACTCACTTTACTTGAGGCTGCACAGAGAGTAACTAACGGTCAATTAATGAGCTCAGATGCAGTTAATGGGGGAGAGAGTGGTAAGTATCTCCTTTCACATATTTATGAACTAAGCATTATGTAATTATTAATATAGTTGAGAAGCATTATGTAATGATTCAGTATTATTGGATCTTAGTCTGCTCTCTAGTAACTCACCATTGTCTATAAAGTTGTCAATTCTTAGATTTCAGGAATTACTCATTAACAATTAATTATCATGTCATTCTGCAATCTCTCCTTGGGAACAACTAAATCTAAACAGGATAAGCTACAACATAAATTTCTTATACCAGAGAAAAGAGGCAGTAAAGAGAAGGTCCTTTAAGAGCAGGCCCTGTTTTTGAGTCCCTCTCTGGTATAAATGCTGAAGTGTGCTTGAGCAGGAACCAAACCAAGCTGAGTGCTTTACTGTAGGCGGTGTTGACCTCTCACCTTACTGAAGAGGGAAACAAGCTAAAAGAAAAAAAGTCACCCTTTTACAGTCAAAAACCAGCAAATGCTCGACTCTTCTTCTGGTTACACATCTTGCAGTTTTATTAAAAGATCACAATAAGTATCACAAGACTAATGTTTGTAAAAATGACGATCTTTATTTAAACCCAAGCTAAAATGTACACTGGATGTACAGTACAACATAGTATCAGGGCTTTAACTGGCGTGAAAAATACAACTTTCTATTTCATTTGTCAAAATGCTAAAGGGAAGCAAGTCTTGACCCTTTCACGACGATGTTAATTATCAATTATTACACAAATGTATTGTGTACCGAATACGACACAAATGCACATATGCTTAGATGTTCCAGAAGCCACAAAAATGAAGACGCTTTACGGTAATAAAGGAGACAAAGCAGGGAACACAACAAAACATTTGTAGAAAATATCAAAAAAAAAGGTCCTAAAGCTTTTACATAAACATTTCCAAACATCAAAGTTACAGGAATTCAGTAAAGATATTACAAGGGCTGTTCTGGACTCGCTCCACTTAATTCTGGCAGAGCTATCTACAAGATGTGTGCAGAACGACTGCTCTCAGGCATACATGTCCTCACGGTCTGCATTATAGATCTCACCCTCCTGCAGCGAGGCAAAGTTTAGGAAGTGCGAGGGCCGGTGGACTTCATGGTAGAACTCCTTGGGGTTGGCCAGCTGCAGGTCATACTTCATGTTGGGGTCGTGGCGCACACCTGTAGCAAGAGAAGTTAACAAAATGGTTATTTGAACTAACCTATTCTTGTTTTTTTCAACTATGCAGTGTTTTGAACTGTGACATGCAGATAAGTGTGAGTGTTAATAAAGCTTTGTTTAGTCCATTTAAATAGTGTCTTAGTCTGAGGACTGAACACTGTTTGAATTTCCACATGATCGTGATACATTGAGCAGTGATGCACAACTGCACAGTAAAATCTATCAAACTGACACGGGGACAGAGCGGAAATATCAATGTATGGCACAGATTTCAAACAGCAGTATTAGGAACATGAGTGATGTAGCCACACAGATTCAAACTCCGAATCATTCTGCTCTTCTATTAAATCTATAAAAACAAAAAGCTCATGTAATAAAATGTGTGAAATAAAAGTTTATGTAATAAAAATAAAAACTATGGCTACTGACCCATGAAGTTGTAGTTCCAGGACACTTGTCCGGGCACCATGAAGAAGCCCAGGAAGCGGTCAGAGAGCAGCATCTGCACTCTTTCATAGTGGGACGGCAGGTAGCCTTTAGGGTTGTTGCCCTTGTCTGTGTTCTGCCGACCCCACTCATAGCCACTGGGTGTCAGCTTGTAGGCGGTGAGCGTGCACGAGCCTGGGGTGAAGCTGAAAAGCAGAGGTAAAATGCATTCAGGTACCATACAACTGACAACCATCACTTTATAATGCAGTTAAAACTGTAGCACACTCGTACTTTTAAAAACAGACAACAAATGAAAACCACGTTTGTTTCCTGTGCGACATCCTGCAGTAAAACAAGTCTTAAGAATCAATTTCTACAACAGTGTTTTATCAGGTATTAGCTGTAAAAAGTCATTAATTACTTGACAATTGTAACAACAATGTCAAGTTGCTAATATGCCAAATCAATTAAACATCCTTGCAAAAAGTTTCTCTCTTCTCCCTCTCTTTAGTTTACATTTGCTATAATTTTGCCAGGCTGAGGCAGTATGCATGAATTTAATCAGACGTCAGTGGCTTTGCAGTGTGATCTACAAACCTAAAACACAGCCTCCTTATTGCATGTTCAAATATTTCCAGCTTTGAATCGCTGATACCATTTTGGCATTGAAATATTGATGAATGCGCTGTATCAATTATTAAGTAAACATTTGGGTGTCAAAACAAGTACACTAAACATTTGTTTATAGATATTTACTCTAAGTACAAGCTGACTATCTACTTCTGAGTGACAAGTGCTTACTATCTGACTATGGACAATCATAAGATAATGACCGCAGGCGAGAAACAGCGCACAGCAGTCTCACAAATCCTACTACAGACAGACAGAAGGTGTCTTGCTATGAATCCTACCTGCAAGTGATGATGATGGTCTTTTCTCCATCCCAAGAGGGGTTGTCAGCCATGACCTTGGCATGGGTGGTCACGTCCTGTGGGGACAGCTGGGGCGACTCATTAGGCTGGGTGTGGATCCAGCCGAGGGGCTCCATTTCCTGTTTAAGGAAGGGAAAGAAGATAAAAATTACTGGGACGACAAAAAAGCGCTCTTGAAAACTGTTACTAAGTAAAACTAATGAGGAATCATCATAAAATGGTGAGAATAAACTAAACACTCACCTTAAGGTATTCATGTCCAGGCAGCTGGTTGGGCAGGTGGACAGTCTGGTGTGTCCCCCACTGTGGCACCATGACGATACAACGGATCTCCTTCACCTGGGGGTTGTCAGGTGGACTCGTGCCATACAGGTAACCTGCAATCTGGAAAACACAGTGCACAGTCAGTTTCTACAGACACAGTTTCTTTACTTTGCACAAAGTGATGAGTATAGATGTCAAGGTACACATCAATATAATAGTTTATTTACATGTCAAAGGAAACCGTTTCTCTATCCCCAACACACCTGTGCTCGCAGATCTGAGATGCAAATGAACTTCTTGAGGACATTCTTGGGCAGGATGTAGGTGTAGCCTGTCTCCTTGATGTCATCCGATGACACGTAGATGTGGTTGGTTCGGAGATGGAGGTTGGCAGCAGATATGGCCCTGACAGGTGGAGAACACACAGAACATTAACACAAACTGACGTGGAAACCCAAAGTTATGACTAGTTGCCCATTTACAATAATAAGCTATGATGGCAGTTTTTCTATATGGATCATGAACTCAATCTGACTCATTCCTGAGCGAAGAAATGCCTCAAAACAAAAACAAAGTTCAAACAAACTATCTACACACCTGACTCTCCATTCGGTCTTAGAGGAGAAGGTCTGGGTCTCGTAGTTGGAGGTGGTGGAGGTGATGATCTCGTCACCATGCTTGTTGACAGTTCGGGTCTGCGTGGCTGTGAGCTGTGACTGCTCTTTAGTCTGCTTCTCAATCTCGGCAATTTGTTGGCGCTGCTGCGATGGAGCGGATATCTCCATACCCAAGATGATGTCACGGATCTCAGACTGCGTCAGTGAGGCCACATTCACACTGGATGAAGACAAGGGAGACAATGACTACTAAATCTAAGTCTTCCTTAATCTCTTCGATTAGGTTACAGAGAGCAACATATAGGATTTATATTGCAGCCCATGAAGTAATACTTACTTGTTCTTTTTGCCGTAATCTGCCAGAATGAGATCTTTGAGTTGCACTTCCACCTTGATCCACTCCTCGTCAGTGAGCGTGGGCCAGATGTGATGGGGCTCCGTGATAGTGGTCTTGTCAGGTTTCAGGATCACCTTGGCACGGTCGTTGTTGACGTGGAGTGCTCTTAAGATCAAGATGAGTCGGGAGAAGGCCTAGAGATGGAGCAGACCACCAAACAAAAACTATTTACACAGTGGTTGAAATAATGCACCCTAATGGGTAAAGTTGGGAAATCAGCTTGGATCAGCTCAGGTAAACTCTTGTGATATAGACTGAAACTCACTGTGTAAGACGAGATGGTCTTGAGCCAGTCATCGTAGAGGTTGAACAGCACCATCTGTGGTTCTGTAGCCTTCAGGATTAGGTCTCCAAACTTCTCCACCTTCAGACAGGCCTGGAAGGGCAGCTGCAACTCAGAACCTTTGATCACAATGTTGGGGAAGTCAAGCAAGTGGACCTGCAATAGAGTGAACAATGGCATTAGAACAGGAAAGCAATGAAGTATGTATCCAACTTTCACAAATTATTACACTTCAAGGCTTGTAATTATTATAATAGGTATTAACATGAAAGGGTCTCACCTCCAGAGGGTCCAGCATG